CCGAGTAGCTGGGACTACAGGCGTGAGCCACTGCGCCCAGCCCTTGATTTCTTAGTATAAAGCCACTGAGGGCTGCCAGAGTACAGTGGGGAAAGAAGCAGCTCTTAAGTGGGTAATAGGCTAAATGGTGACTATCTGTGGGCAGGAGTATGGTGTTCAAACCCCCTGACAGAGGCTCCCAAGAACTAGCCTATAAGGGCCCTCTAAGAAAGAAACCTGGTTCTAATCCCAGCTCTCCCTCTGACATTGTGGGACCTCAAGCAGTTCAAATGGCACCTTGGTTTCAGGGTCACTTGGGTATGAGAGCAGTTAGGTATCACTGGATATCCCCATCCCCACCCCTCAATAACTAAAGGAGGATAAACCAAGGCAAAATTATCTATCTACTGTGTCCCAGGCTTCTTTATTTAAGAACAAAGTGATGAGTGATGTGGGGATTAAAATCAAGAGCATCATTGAACTTCATCCTCCTTCCAACCAGCTCCCCCAAACTCCCTGCCCCACCCCTTGTGTTCTCAATTCCTTCCTTTGTGATTGAAGAACGTAATCCCAAAAGCCCTGATACAAACTCCAGGTTCTCCCTTCCTGAGCTCCTTCCCTTGCCCGGCCCCCCCATTCCTAGAAGGGCAGGCACCTCAGTTTGAATGCATGGGAGAGCCCAGAGTGGTGACAGAGACAGAGGGAAAGGCTTCCCCCTCAGGGAAAGGGACCGAGGAGTACAGGGTGGTAAAGTGAGGGCTCCCATAGCCTGGGGTACCGAAACGGGGCCCAGGGGCCAGGGGAAAGGACACTGGGCCCCCTGAGAAAGGAGACCCGGCAGCCTCCAACTCCTCCCGTTGTGAATAGTCACCGCTGGATCGCTTGCCCTTCTGGCGCCGGTTACAGAACCACACTCGGACCACCTGCGATGGACGACATAAGGGAGAGAAGCGTTAGACCGTAAGCTCTGAAGGGTGGGTCTGGCTCTGCTTAGTCATTTTGCCCACAGCCCACAGTGGCTGGAGGAGCCAGAGCTAGGGAAAGGGAGGAGGAGATGGAGGACGGCAGGAAATGGGCACTCACATCCTTCTCAAGCCCAAGCTGCTGGGCGATGTGGCTGATCTGCTGCAGGGTGGGTTTTGGGCACTGCAGGAACAAGTTCTCCAGGTTGCCTCTCACTCGGTTCTCGATACTCGTTCTCTTTCTCTTTCGGGCCTGCACTAGGGTCTCTGCTTTGCATATCT